TGATGCTTCAGACTAAATTTGGTTGAAATCCTCTCGAGCGTCAAGCAGGAGATGCGTTTTAAAGCAAATTTAGCTAAGTTCTTCAGGGCCGCCCCCTGGCCTCAGGGGTCGAACCAACCTTATTTATTTAAGAAATGAGTGTCCTGCCCTAGTGATGCTAAAGACTCAATTTGGCTGAAATCCTCGCTGGTGTTTAGGAGGAGATGCGTTTTAAAGCAAATTTAGCTAGGTTCCCCTTCATGGCCCTCTGGCCTTAGTGGTCGAATCAACCTCATCTATTTAAGAAATGATTGCCCTTCACTACTGATGCTTCGGACTAAATTTGTTTGAAATCCTCACTGGCGTTAAGTAGGAGATGCGTTTTAAAGCAGATTTAACTAAGATACCTTTAAGGGCCCCGCACTCTGGCCCCAGGGGTCGAATCAACCTCATTTATTTAATAAATGATTGCCCTCTCCTAGTGATGCTTCGGACTAGATTTGGCATTTGGGAGGAGATAGGTTTTAAAGAAAAAAGTTGACGACGGGTGACGGGCGACGGACGCTGCGCCACGGCAAAAGCTCACTATGGTCCTTCGTACCATGTGAGCTAAAAATGGTAGTTGCAGTTTTGCTTTTAGGTAAATGGCAACAACTGGTGCACCCGTTGTCGGTAGAAAATTGATCGGGCGGAATGCTGTGCTCGGTGCCTTCGGCATAGAATTTCAGTGAGTTAGCACTCTAATTTTGGCATCAGATCCGTGCTATCACATGGAGGGTAATACAACAACATACCCGGCCCGGAGCACACATTCGCACATCCACGCCACGCTTATACGACACTCATGGAGGCACGTCTTAAATGAACTCAGTTGTTGGTCTTAATCTAGTTCAAGTATAGTTCGTTTGTTGCCTCCAATTTATATTGGAATTCTTATGCACTGAATAAACATTTGCCTCTGCTGTTCTGCCATAAGGGATTTTAAGTGTTTGGTTAAAGGGGGATTTGTTATCGTTTATTCGACTGAGGGTAAGCGAACTCAATGAAAAGTAGACAGACTATTTTTGAGATCATGGTGACATTTTGTATTGGTCCATTCTTGTCTGGACTGGAATTGATACATTAACCAATGTACCCATTTTGATATCTAACATTATCATGATATATCATACCAGTAGCCTCCTTGCAGGGTCGGGATAGGTTTCGTCCTTATCTTCTGATCAGGGGAAATTGAAGAGACCAGGAATTGACCTGCTGCATCTAACTGCACGTGTATCATAAAAAGCGATTGATATGAAAACTCTGCACAATCGGCAATTTTCTTCTACCAAGAGGACAAAGAAGAGACCAAAAATGATCCTCTACTCTTACTACACTTTAGATATCTTTCTTTCTTGCTTTACTACTGTCTCTTCACGTCGGTGTCTCCCTAGGTACCCGTCCTAATATTACACTTGCTGTTCCAAGGATATTTAACCACAAACACCAACCATGACAATAGTCATGCTTTGTTAAATCCAAATATTCAAATGATATTGGGCAGTTTTTCACAGTTTCCTTTTTACATTCACCGGAAGTGTAAGACAACATAACATTCTGAGACTCAATTGCCACTTAGTGGAGGCGATGTGCTGGTCTTGGACACGGTACCAACTTGGCATAATGTAACAATTTGCTGACATAACATTTGATAGTGTCTTCAAAATAATGTCAAAGCGATAATTTTGATCAAGATGAAAATAAAGGCATTATGGCGATGAGGTTTAGGATGATTTAATGAAAGTGCCTGTGATGCTGCTGATGATTATGATGATGGACCAAATGTAAGATCGATTTTTTTTGGAAAGAACCAATATATGAAAAAGGAAAAAATATTGAATAGCAAGTGCTAATTGCAATTAAGGCCGTTACAAATGTCCCCCAAACACCCCCGCAAAAAAAGAATCAAGAATTATGTTAATAACCAGAGAAACTACATATTCTTACTTACACAAGTCATGGTCGGCACAATACAGCTACATACCAAATTTGAGTGAAATCCAACAATATTTAAATTCTCAAACATCAGAACCAAGTATACTGCAGCCATTTTGTCGAGTCAGAAAACGGGTGAATCAGTTGAGTTTGCAAAGCCAAATACACCTATATACCAAATTTTAGTGAAATAAAATAATATCTGAATTCCGACCAATCAGAAGCCAGTTTATGACAACAAAGGGGCCTCGTTGGACAAGTGGTCAAGGCGTCTCACATTTTGCTACCACAAGCCCTTCACCACTGGGTCGCGGGTTCGAGACTTTCGTGGGGCAGTCGCCAGGTACTGGCCGTAGGTCGGTGGTTTTTCTCCGGGAACTCCGGGTTTCCTCTACCATACAAACATTGCACGTTCTTATATGACCATAGCTGTCAATAGGACGCAAAACACAAACCAAACCAATAATATGGCAACTATTTTGCCGAATCAGAAAACGGATGTCGAAGTTGAGATCGCACAACAATATATGAATTTCGACCAATCAGAAGCCGGAATACTGCAGTAAAATTGTCGAAACAGAAAATGTATGTCGCTGCTTTCGAAACGGAGCAAAAATAAACTGTCCCCACAATTCGTTTGGAGAACATACATAATATGAGATCTTTGTTACCAATACAATTGTTATTAGAAAATGAAAAAAGAAAGTTACAATAAAGTTTCTTTTTGCTAAAGTAGAGTGGGAAATTAAAATTAGTGTTTTCCTGACGTATTTTCAAAATCACAAAACGGGTAAAATCAGAAAAGATTAAAACAACTTTCATTCGGGATCTTTTTTGACCGACAGAAATATCCTTACGTTCTTTCTGTTGTCACTTTTATCGGATTTCATGTGTTACATGTAAATACAAGGAAATACATGCATGTCTCCTGTTAGATTCAATTATGTAAAAGGCGACAATTTGTTCAAGCTGTACATTGTAACTTTATTCTAGATGTCTGCGAGAAAAGGCTTATCAAATCAAATAAGATTTGCACTTAAATTAAGTATATTTAAAAAGGCGAAAATACCAGTCCCGAAGTTTGATCGTCTGCTAACTGGCATTCGAAATATTATCATTAAAAAATGGATAGCAATTTGTGGCGAACAGTTGTAAATATCTGGAAGGAAGTCGTTCAGTTATTTTCCCCCAATGATGGCTAGAGGTCAGAGTCGAGATGTCCCAGAAAGCATAAATAGCTGGAGGGAAGTCGTTCAGTTATTTAACCCCAATGATGGCTAGAGGTCAGAGTCGAGATGTCCCAGAAAGCATAAATAGCTGGAGGGAAGTCGTTCAGTGATTTTCCCCCAATGACGGCTAGAGATCACAGTCGAGATGTCCCAGAAAGCATAAATATCTGGAGGGAAGTCGTTCAGTTATTTTCCCCCAATGACGGCTAGAGATCACAGTCGAGATGTCCCAGAAAGCATAAATATCTGGAAGGGAGTCGTTCAGTTATTTTCCCCCAATGATGGCTAGAGGTCAGAGTCGAGATGTCCTAGAAAGCATAAATAGCTGGAGGGAAGTCGTTCAGTTATTTTCCCCCAATGACGGCTAGAGATCACAGTCGAGATGTCCCAGAAAGCATAAATATCTGGAGGGAAGTCGTTCAGTTATTTTCCCCCAATGATGGCGAGAGGTCAGAGTCGCGATGTCCCAGAAAGCATAAATATCTGGAGGGAAGTCGTTCAGTTATTTTCCCCCAATGACGGCTAGGGACACTGAGATGTATTATGCAATTGTCAAAGTTTGGTTTGATGTATATGGTAAGCGTTCTCTTAACAACTAAAGTAATTATGGCCGTGCCATCGTGTGTGTAATGTTTGCGTGGGTGTTGATATTTTTATTCAAAATGTCGAGGTTTTTTTTTAAAGTTTTTGAAACGATAAGCATGATATGTGCAATGTTTTTCCTGAAATTATTAAAATCTTCATAACATACATGAGCTGACATTTGAATAATATACTTATTGTGTATTACACCTCCTTATTATGGTTTTGTCACAAGTTTGGCTTAAAAATAAGATGAGTTTTTACAGGTCATCATAATTTCATCGTACTATTTTGCACAGGTAATTACTTGTACAGTATAAAATGCACAGGTTAGTTGAACCCAAACATTATACAAGTACATAGGCTTCATATAAGTGATAACTTCAGTGATACTGAATAAATCATATAGAAGTTACTATATCGGAGTACTGCTACGGTATTAAGATAATTATAATAGAGAGATCCAAGAGAGACCTTGGTACCTACCATTGTAAGTTGTTCATTAGGTCTACTCTTTGTTAGTTTGATGTTTTCTCATCTTTCGTTTTATCTATCAGAAGATTATAGAGTATTTTGATAATAAAGAACACAAACAACTAATTGTTTACATCTAATATAGCTGCCAACCCAATCTCAAAATAAAGCATGCACTATGCCAGACTAAGGGCAACCTTTACATTTGACACAAAACTGTCAGTACGCTTTAGAATAGACAGAAATTGAACTGTCAATATCCCAGATGGCTGCATAAAAGACAGAGCCAAAATGGAACATACACATGACATTTTAGCAATATCTGTAAAATGCTTCTTGAGAAATAATGATAACAAATTTAATTTATCAAAACTAATATGATCATCTTGTTTTTTCGATCAAGAAGCAGAATGCAAAAATATAGACAAAATGGGACATATATGTGATTTTGGAAAAAAACCACTCTGTACTTGTTTATAAAATCAATGGCGAAGATATCTGCCTGGCGACCATCTTGTATTATTGATCAGTCTAAAATGAAAACAAGCACAAAAACAGACCAAGAAAAACCATCTGAAATTTGAGAAAAAAATGTTTACGGAAGAACGACTAACCATAGACGATATGATTACGCACCATCTAATGAGGGTGGGCAACAATTCAACGACTGCTTTTGAAAATGTCTAGTTCCCGACCTACGGGAGTTTCTATTAATTGACTAACAGTTCCTTAAAATCGGTCAGATAGAAACAAACTAAAACAGAGTGGATACGAAAAATATTTTACTTGTTTTTCTTCACATACCATTATCAAATGTCAAACACATAAATATAGAAATGATTAATACCCAAATATCAAGGTATGATATGTCTGCGAATGTATGAATTGATAGAATCAATCATATTAGATACGTTGTTCTTACAAAATGTTCATCAATTTTATCACATTTGTATAAATGTTCCTTGGCCAACGTCCAATGTTCAAACACTTCTTATATAGGTTTCTAAAGAATCGCATCTAAAAAGACAACCAGCGGTTCTTAACTTGTGTTCTTAATAATCAGTGGTTCTTAACTTATGTTCTAAGTATCGATCGACATCTTGTGAGATACGAAAAAGTGCATTGCATTATCACTTATTGTTTGTTTTGTTAGTATTGTTTTTTCATTAACAGGGACCATATTCCTCTTCTATCCGCGGCTTTTGTTACAATTATGAAAAGTAGTCAGAGCTCTTTTGCATCTACGTGAGTTTGGTTTGTATCGCACTACTAAATTGTTGGTGTGTTGATGTCGTTGTGACGGGATTATTCACAAGTTGGAGCTTGCAATTTCAGGAAAATCACTATTTTACTCGCTTACTGCTCTAAGTCGTCCGCCGCGTTGCGTTTCCCCCATGAATTAAAGCCACTCCATTTTGAACGTTTCCCCCATGTAGCCAAGTTCGACCAAGGGTTCCGTTTCCCCCATGAATTGAAGCCACTCCAATTTGATCGCTTTCCCCACGATGCCATACTACTCCACTTCCGCTTGATGGCCTCTAGTTGATCAGCTGTTAGCGCTTCTGCACGCTTTCCCCATGCACTAAGTTGGTTCCACTTTCGTTTTGGCAACAGATCATCGGAGACATTTTCATCATCACGTTTTCCCCACGATGCGTAACCAGTCCATTTTCGTTTATCTACGTCTTCAAGTCCTGCATCTGTTAATTCGTCTGTAGGATCACGTTTTCCCCACGTCCCCATGTCTTTCCATCCACGTTTGTCGCCCTCATTGTATAGTAATGCTTGTTCCGGTGTTATTTCCGAATCGATGTCGTCTTTGCCAGTTTCGTCAATTGCAGACGGATCGATGGATCGCTTACCCCACGACTGAAGACGAGCCCAGCGCCGTTTACCCCATGGGGAAAGATTAACCAATACTCTTTTACCCCATGAATTGAACTTTTGCCAGCCTCTTTTCGCTACTTCAGACTCATCCGCTGGGGAGGCATTTAGTGTGTTTATAAATTTTGATAAGGCTTCCTCTTTAGAGTCACTATTTAAAACGCCACGCTTCTCTCGACTGGCGTCCACGGCACCGGTTGTCTTGTCGATTCCATCTAGTGACTTTGCCATGCAGTAGGCGGTCTTCAGTACAAGCAGTGTAAGACAGAGCAATCTGGTGATGGACATTTGAAACTTCATGTTGTGTGTCAATGGAGCGTGTACGTCTGCAAAATATAACAAAGGGTCATACTTAATAAAAGTCTTTATAAACAAACTCTGTTATCCTAAAGAATTAGAAGCAGAAGATAATCGTACAATGACAAGACAGAGAAAGCGGAATTTAATCATTATTTGTTTGCTTAGGCTAAGCAGACCATTGGTACCAACAACCATGTCTATGACTGTAGAGAAAAAAATCAAAAAAATCACAAACATCAAAAATGACAAAATGCTTAAGATGTGAATATAAATATTATTTCAAACACTTTATTCTGTTAAAGAACCTTACATCATGAAATAAGTAAAAGCAGTTGTCACAAGAAATGATTAGAAAGCTATTTTATGTGTTTTGCTTAAAATATGTATCATAGACCTGTTCTATATTGCTACTTGTGACCAAGACAATTTCAACAGTGACTACATTATCACATACGAAACAGTCAGGTATATCTTTGACCCTTTATAAATCCACGAATACCTTGCGCGTTCCAACTCCACTCCTATTTATATAATGATGCTATTTAGTGTTAAATGTTGGACGCTCAAAACTTTCCTCTGCAATACGCAAAGACGGAATATCTGTGTCGTGGTGCTTAATGATCAGTAGAGGAACATAAGGAATAATATGGATTTCAATATCAGAGCTATCCGACTCCGATTCTTCAAGTAGTTTTGACAAAAAGAATACCATATACAGGAATTTATGAAGTTTTGTTTGCCTGTAGTTATTAAATTGGAATCGAGGACCCACTCTTGCAGTGGAATTTCCAGATTTAATTTTAGTTAAAGAGCAAATTGAAAAACAAACTATTGTCAAAAAGCGTGGCTTCAACAGCTTTCACACAAATACTTTAAACGTGAAATCCCACAAAATATCAAAGGAGAAACCAAGCGCGGATCTATTAATGTAAGACCATGCTAAAAGCATCCAGCACAGTACTTCACCCGATCACGTTATACTGACAACGGAGGTTGCGTGAGAAAAAACATTCAGGATAATCAAGACATTTCTGTAAAGTTAATTCCCCGATATAAGATTTTATATCTTGTAATTTCATTCTATATATACCGTCAATAGCTTATAACTGGAGAGGAAATGCGTATGTTCTTCGAGGGCATCTGAATACGCTTGCTTTAAATTGATAACAATGAAAAATGAGATATAATTTGGTCTCTTTTGAGTATTTTAAACGTTGTTAGAAAAGAAAAAACTTTGCTGAGCGTACCCACTTTAGTAGCTTCTTACAAATCTTGCGTTGAGTTACAACAGATTTTATTCTCTTCGCAATCACCACCTACAGGAATTGGCCGGTTACTGATGAACCCTCACATGATAAGTATTGATACATATTGAAATTTAGATGTTTGCAGTAGGACGTGATGTACATATAATGATGATTATCCTCATCGCGTCCCCTAGAACTCGTATACAAGAGCTGTAATGAACGTTACTTCAACGCAAATTAACGAGGAGACCAAATGATTCAAGTCAGTCTAAGTAAATTCCTGTGAATAGGTACATTTAGAAAAATAATTATGGCTTTGTGATACCACGCTCTTCGCAGGTTCGGGGAACGAGTGGAACTGCTATATCCTACTGGGTTTCCGTTAGTGTCTCTTGTAAGGGATCATTAAAGAAACCAAAATCAGCTGCACCCATCGCACCACTTGGGATCTATTTCTTTACTTCTCTCTTGCTTTCCTACTCTGTCCTTGCAGTGGCATCCTCTAAATAAGACCCTGGTTGTTGCGGGGAAAGTAAACCCCCAACAAACAAATAATAGTACGCAGTATTGATTAATAGAATCTTCCCCGACCTTGAGGGTGTGATAGGGAAATCTCCAACACGAGAAATGATGTCTTTTGGTTGTCTAACCCGAGGCTCTGCCGAGGGTTAGACAACCAAAAAATCACCCCAAGGGTTGGAGATTTCTCTGTTACATCCTCAAGATAGGGGATGATTTTTTCCCCCCATCCTATTAATTCAGTCACAACTCAACCGATAGTAGTCTGACATGTTTGTTATTAAAAATACATGTGGGGTATGCATATCGTCATTCACTTTTGATGACGTCACAATTACCGATGACGCATTTTAATGACGTCACAATCGGCACGAGGCTATCTCCCCCTAGGGGATGACAAGCTGATCTTTCCCGGCCAATACAGGAGACACACCTGTGAAGGGTGGGGAAATAGTACATCACCTCCTCTAATGGATTTGACACAAACATCAAAATGTTTGACCGAGGACATCAAAAACTAACACGAAGTACCTTCACTGGTGCTAACATTGGCACCAGTGAAGGTACTTCGTGTAACTAAACGTAATTACATTTACGATATGATTAATTCGACTGACTTTGGTGTTGTAGAAGGTCGCGTTCAATAAATCTAATTATTAACATTTTTTTTTGATGATTAATGGATCAGGTATAGAGCACGTGTACATACATCTACTCTTCTAGGACATTGCGTACGTATAGCACACGAAATTTGTAACAGGTATCGATTATGAACACATACCATCTCGACTAATGTTTCTTATACAAACCTATTGACCTCGTTTACTCGCGAAAGTAATTTTGTTTTAGATAACTTAACTGTGTTCCCTATACACTGAATTATACATAGTATTTAACGGAAAAGGGTTTATTTTTGTTTTGTTTTTAGAAGATAAAAATGAAAAAAATGAAAAAAATGACATATGAAATGCATCAGGGCCGAGTTATTCAACTGGTCATTAGCTTAATCATGATTTAACGGCATTTTCAACCTCTAATAATCTAGTCAATATGTCAGGTAAAACTCGTAATTTTGCAATTATTTTGTGTTATTCTTCTTAAATATTTACTGCAGTTTTAACTCAAATAATGGTTGTATTTCATATACGCACAAAATAATGCCGCTAATCACTGAATAAGCTTATCATCTTTCCAACACCTTGGCCTCGAATCTCAACATCTTTAAATATTTCTAAGCTTACTAACAACGATTTGTTTCTTGGTGCCTTGCTTTGCTTTACCTCACATATGGCTTTAGCGTTGAACGTTTGCCCGAGTGGAGTAGGCAATGGTGTTAGTCCCCAGGCGAGACTTACCAAAGTCCTTCAAAATGGTAGTTACTCTTTCCAGCTAAACTTTCATTATTTCGGGTAATTGCAACGACAGATTTACCCATTGCCAGTGTAACGTGACCGGGTAGAATGCTGTGCATGGTGCCTTCGGTAGGTATTTTAGTGAGATAGCACTATAAAGTTGGCATCAGATCCGAGCTATCACAAGGAGGCAAATGCATCCAACGTACCCTGCTACCGGCACGTATACACACAAATGCACGCATACACTGCACACAATGACTTTAGCCGTCAATAGGACGTTTAACAAAATAAATCCAAAACCGAATCGAACCAATCACATTGTTCTACCTTGTCAGCATTTGACAGAATGAAATTTGAAAACATTACACCTTCTCATTACAAGTATTTTGGAAGTATGTAATAAGTACGGAAACGTAATATTGCCCAATCTTTGACCAGACAGACCATCGTAATGACATCTGACGCGTATCGGCAGTCCTTCCGTGTAAATATCAACAGGTATAGTAAATAGTATTTTTATGCAGCTACTCTTTCTATGATTTCTTATTTAATTTACACCGGGGAATTCTCTGCTTCTTCCCTGATTGTTTGCTAATCATAGAAGACACTGACTAATTTAACCTATACTATATATATAGTATATATATAAATATATCCACAAAACTTGCTGCCAGTGCCAATTCTGGCAGTTACTCGAATATTTAGAATAAAGAGATTTCATTTCAACAATTTTTATTGCAAAACACATGCAAAGGGATAGGGCACCAGGCAAAGCCTATATAAGCCTTCTCCTTACAACTTCGGTATGGTATATATACAGTCATTAAAATCATCAAACAAGTATATAAACAATTCATATAGTATGTCTCCATGTCCCGTCCGTACATGGTGTAGTTATGATTAAACAAATCTTTAAGTGTTGATAATGTACTCTGCTATACATTGTAGTACACATGCATTGGTTTCTTCATCACATTTATGACATCCATGAAGTAACGTGCTTATATTAAAATGGTCATGGGTTATATTTTGGTTAATCAGCTGATTTATAAGTGTCAATCGAGAATGGTTGAATAGAGGACAGATACAAAAATAATGATCCGCAGTTTCAAGAAAAAGGTCAGAGTTCAAATTGCTGGCTTCATTACTAAGTTGACACAAAATTATATTTATATTTCGACTGACATCATTTGCAAACGTTTTTGTTGAAGCCGAGACAGTTTCATTATTTTTGAAGAGCAGAGCTTTAAATTGTGATAGAGAGTTTACATTGGATAAATCAAAACTAAGAGCGAATGAGGTGAATTCCCTAAGTGTACTGGGAAAATAGCTACTATAATAGCTTACTGTTCTACATATTGGAGTGTTGAAATATCTAGTCGTCCTTAATGGATATCCTTCATTTTCATTGTGATATATAAATGGTTGCACTATATCTTTCAGATGTTGCGGAGGCATGCCATGAAGTATCTTAAACATTAATGTTAGTTTGTGTTTTTGTCGTCTATCTGAGAGAGATTCCCAGAAAAGTTCTTTATATAATTTATGATGAGAGGTACCTCTGCGCAATCCTGTTATGACTCTAGCAGCTTCTAAATGAACAGACTCAAGCAGTTGCTTAGACTATTCCGTGCAATTGTCCCACAAGACGTCTGAATAATCGAATAAAGGCAAAATATGTGTTTTATATATCTTTAAAAGAGTTTTCCTTGAGACTCGTTTTTTAAGTGATTTTAATATATTTACCATTTTAAACGCTTTTTCATATATATAATTTACATGATGAATCCATTTACCATCTTCAGATAAAATAACACCTAGATGTTTGTGAGTAGCAAGGGATTGAACTGGGCTATTGTTAAAAAATATATCTGGATGTAGCGTGTCTCCTTTCCTAGTAAACTT